CTTCCAAATAGGGGAAAAATTACACTTGAGGTGCACTTTAAAGTAACCGTTATTTTGAATATACGAATGACTAATTAGAACGCGAAAATAAATAAATCTAAACGCTAGATTAATCGAGAACGGCTTTCCATTCCCTGCATGGGCGAGAACGCTGCTATGGCCGCCATTTTGATGACATAAACATGAGAAACTAATAAGGAATGCTTTCTTATTTGGCACCAATACAAACCTAAGAATAACCAGACCAAGGAAATGATAAATCGAGATAGTGGTACTAGTCGTACGTTGCGGGTAATGGGCTCCTGATCTTTCGACTGATAAAAGAAAGATGTTTACATGAATAGATCCAAAACAACGAACAACATGAGCCAGCTTTTCAATATTTTATTCTAACCGATATCTGATATAGCTTCCTCAACGCGCATCTCGCTTTATGGTTTTCATTTTTTTCTTCTTCTGGTATTCCTGTTGCAAGCGAAGAGAGGAAAACTAGTACTGAGGAGGAGCCCTTTTTTGACAATAATCTAGTGTTGGCACAGGTCGCCCAATAAAATAAAAAAAAGAAGACAGAAAAGAGAGACGCGTGCAGAGGAAGCTAAACTGACTTAATGCAGTCTTTAATTTCTTTAAATAATTTCGATTAAAAAACTACAAAATATAATATGTTGATAATGTGAGTAACTAATATTGTCAAATATATATTGATATTCATATATTTCATTTCCCAAGTTTTTCCAAGATTTAGGAAGTCAGGAAGTGACATGAAATTTGTGTCCTGTCCCGGGGGTAAGTTGGAAGTTGGGGGCGGGTGGGTATACAGAATATTTTTATCAATGGGAAATTTGTCCAACACAGACGACAATTCGTTCAGGACCATTCATTGCTTATCGGAGGGAAGGATGGACAATTGAAAACTTTAAGACCCTAACCCTCCTAACCCTTTACCCACCCCCCTCCCACAAAAACGAATGATCCTTAAGTCATATATATTATAGTGGGAGCACTAGGGAAAAAATACTACATGTAGCTTTCATTGAAAGCGTTCTACAGAAATATTATTTGTGTTTAAATAATTTTTGTATACAATCATCACAAATAAATATATACTTCTTGTATCATCTACATGTGGTGTTGTGATAAAGTGATATGTTGTGCATTTAATATCAGGACTCCTAGGAATCAGACGTCAAATTGATTATAGATATCTTTTGCAACCTTTTACCTGCACTCTAAGTGCTTGCTGACAAAATCTCAATTAAAGTCAATTTAAAATCCACCGGATATTATTTTAACACTAGCTCTTCTATGAATATCCTGTCTAGTGATGGCCTTATACACAAAGGGCTATTTCCAGGGAGTCTTGGGGTGCCTGTGTTCTCATTCACACTAGCAGGGCTAAATAAACGGCTGGTCACGTCGCTAGTCATGTTGACCGACCAAATTATATCTTATATATTATTTTATTTTTTTGGCTCAACTTAACTGGTCAAACTCATCGGCAATGAAAAGATTTGACCGGATAAGTTCCAATTCTAGCCGGACAGTGCCCGATGACCGGTAGTAATGTTTAGCCCTGCATTAGCAAGTTTTATAATACTCCAGTTTCGAGTTCTCTGTTGCTCAGGGTTAGTCTCGTCTTTGTCCAGAATATTCACGTGTTCCATTGAAGGTCCATGGAATTTAAAAGTGTTTGTATTGTTGAAGTTGTGCATTCTTCACCTTGCCGTTGGTATTTGTGAATATCAAGACAGTTACGAAGCTAAGACTGAGTTAATCAGTCTGTAATCAAGGAACACAGCGGTAATTTGGAAATTGAAAATGGTCAATTACGTGTGCGTACATGTGTTTTTGGAGCGGGGAGGGTGGCTAGATGGAATTCCTGCTTACGCCCCTAGTGCCACTATGAAATATCCTACAGACGCATCACTATTATCTCGCGGACATAACCTATCTATTCATAATCCGCCCCTTCTTGGAGTTACCCATAGAAAAAGAATTCTTTTCTGTGTTTTCTTGAGTTACATTCATGCTCTTGGTCTTTTGAAGCCTGGATGTTGAAGGCAGGGATGACTTCCGATTACTTTGAGAATCATCCAAAGACTGTGATCTCTTAAAGCCGTTGAAGAGCCCGCGTGTAGGATTAAACAGAAGTCCAGCGGTGGCACTTACTAAGCTACTGGGTGGAGTTTGATTGGTTGATTCGCTTACAGCTTTAGCTTGATTTGTCTCGGTTATTACGCCGCTTTTGGGTCGTTTACGATTGCGCTTCTTTTTAACATCCAGCAGAGGGAAATACTCTTCCTGGAAACGGTAAATGAAGCTAACTGAGAGGAAGCTATCTGAAATGATGGTGATGAGATGATGGTGATA